TTTTGTTTTTTAAGTACAGCAAATCCAGGGAAATATAGATGGATTATTATAATTATTATTATTCGTGGCATTTTTCTTTTTTTGTTATTTTATTTATTTATTTTTTATTTTTTACAAAAAGTTGCATTCATCTGTTTAATTTAAAATACAACCAATAACATGGAGCTTATGGATGTGCTAATTTGAAATACCTACAGAATATTAGACCACTTATTTTTTATTTATTTTTTATTTGTTTGAATTTCACAACTTTCAAAAGGAAAAAGAAAATGTCTCCATCTGTTTTTTTTTTTTTTTATTAGGATCAAACAAATATATATATATATATATATTGCTTTTTATAAGTCTACATAAAATATTTTAAAACAGACAAGTTCATTAAAAATAATGTAATGGTTGAAGATGATATGACAATTTATTTATATATTTCTTAATTAAATACATATCCAAATATCCTCTGATGCGTCTTATTTTCAATCAGAAACAAATTTCTTGGTTGAATGAAAACATTTGTTTGCTTGTTTTTCCTTTTCTGTCAGGGTATTGTGCTTTACCTCATCCATTATTATATCGCAAATCTACATTATCATATCAATCTAAATTAGGCTACACCGAATCAAGCAGAAACCGTTCATGTGGCCCTAAAATATTTGAATTGCATGCACTTATGTAATAATTAAAATAAAAGCGACATATGTTCTTTTTAAATAGATTCCAACTAGGAAGAAAGTGCATTTACAAGCTATGTTGGTTTTAACATTTAATCCAAGGAGCAATATAGGTCTAAATATTAGATTAGATGGGGATTAGCACCGCTCCTACCTGAAATAATCCAGTTTGCAGAAGATTTCTTTGTTTTTAACGTAGCAGCTGTTGTGTTGCCGCAGAGACGCCCTACAGACGGAGCACTCCAGGCAGCCTAAATGCCAGTTCAAGTTGTTCACCTGACATTAAAAAAAAAACAGGACGCATGCGCTAATTAAGGCTCTGTGAGCGCAGCAGATCATTTATGTAAATACCACTTTTTCTGTTTTATGTGTGAAGCTTTCACAGAAATAAACACAAATCAACACCATTAAGCTTTTTAAAACTAAAATCTGCTGAGGGTTGGAGGTTATCAGAGTGATTTGATGACCTTCAGCAGGTAGCGGTCCTGGATCTCCATCCCACAGCTGGCGCATTGGTTCTTGGCCGCCGGAGGAGAGCAGAGGCAGGCGGCCTCCAGTGGGCTGGACTCACCGGACTCCTTCTTCACATCCGGCTTAGACTGTTTCACAAAACACTGCTTTTTAAAAACAACAGATCAAGCACGGCGGGAATAGTAAAAAAAAAAAAAAAGTACCAGAATATTAGATCATTTTAAATCCTGTTTTGTTTCGTAAAAACTTGGATAGCCTATAATCAGCAATCAGTCTTTAATAAGGATTATCTTTCCATTTGCAATACTTAAATATCAGTTCCTGAAATTGACACATTTTCTGATTGCGATTAAATCTAATGCCAATATCTAAAGAACTAAATAATTTAACATTTAAAACCCTGAGGAGGCCTACTTTCCAATTACACTCCAAATAAAATACTTTTTCTTTAAACTCCCCTTTATATGATAATTAGCAAAATAATTGAATTATGTTGGATAAATACTTAAATAATGTCAGAACACACTGTTGGTAACTATCCGGATTTTACTGCTGTTCAACGTTATTTTCTAAGCCTAAACCTGGTTCAACTATCATTAAGAAAATGTTTTCATTTATAAGAAAAAAAAACCAGTCATATTTTGAGTGACCTACTTTTTATTAAAAAGAAACAACGTTTTTTTTTATTATTTGTTGGACAGTCCTGTTATGCAGCCGATTTAGCCAGTTTTTAAAATATATATAAAAAGAAATGAACAAGCAATTAAAACACTTGATTTATCATAAGAAAAATATCTATTTTTATGTATTTTTTTTTCCTCTGTGAGACAATAATTCTGGAAATAAAAAAAATAAAAAAATCTATTTTAAGATTTCGTTTCCATAATATTCAACACCATACTACAGAAAATGAAAAAAACAAACAAACAAAGAAAAGGACCCAATTCATTTGCCAGGAAAAAACAAAAATGGATTATTCCCGCACATAGGATAAATGCGCAAACTGTAAATTGTTTTGGATTAGTATAGTTGAGTTTTAACAATTTTACACTCTTCTAGAATTAAAGAAGCGCAAAACAAAAAAATGGAAGCAAGGATTAATCCAACATACAATAAAACAAATGAAGTTATCATAATTTTAGCCCTGACTGAGAATTTCTGTTAAGGTTTGGACATTTTCCTGCACCTCTGGTTAAATGCGCTCTGAGCAGCCGACCTCCTATGAATAAAGTTGAACTAAAAGATGCAGTCATAGAACAGATCTCTCTCTCTCCTTTTCGCCACTCACCATTTCCAGGTCCTGAATTCTGCCTATTCGTGGTGGAGACACAGTTTGCTCTGCGCATTGCGCATCTCTGCTCCAAACGCGCCCTACAGCCGCTCCAAACTCAACGTCTTACAGTTTCTCCCGCATTTAAACCCTGACAACAAAAGGAATTTGGATGCAATTAGATATAAAAAAAAAAGAGGAAAAACACTACACAGGATCGATCCTTCCCATTGCGTTCAACGGAAGGTTGCGTGTTGCAATCACATGCAGAGAAAAGAAAGGGTGGCACTATGTCTGCAATTAGCGGCGGATTGAAACGCTGCGCTTGATAAGAGGCAACCCGAGTGTCAATTTCATCTGTCAATCAGGAGGAGGGAGCAGGGCCACCAAGCTGAGGAAGGGGGGGAAACGCTGCGCTCCCTAATTTCAATAGCTGTATAATCGAAAATCGAAAAATCTCCAAAGTGAAGAGCCTCAATTGGAGATCGCTCTATTCATAACAGACAATGTGCAGAAACTGCTGCTGATCTTGAGACATAAAGGAGCCTGATTGTCTCCTTTCTCGTGATGGACCCATTTAGACACTCCAGGCTCCCCTCAGTGATTACAGCTGCATTCAGAAAGTGCCAGAAATCTGCGTTTGGGGGGCAATCTGGACTCCGTGTTGTCCTTCACTTCTCGAAATTAACAGGAATGCAAGATCATGTTAATTACCGACTTGGATGTAAACACTGGAGGGAGTGAAACAAGAGGAGATGGTCTGCAAAAACTTCTGAGACAGAAAACCTCCGTAATGCGGCGAAAACATCATTCGGGGATAAATGGTTTATCCAGAAAAAGCGTCTAAATAAATCCCAAAAGGTTTTTTATGGGCAGTCCTTTCTGCTTTTAAGAAAAAGCTGATCCAAGATGAACCTTGAGGGACTCCATCATGGTTTCCAAACACTCTGATCTGAAATAGACTCAGAATCTAATCCCAGTGAGCAGAGGCAGGATATGATGCTGAGCCCTCCTCTACAGTAACTCAGACTAACTCAGAACACAGTTTATAAAAAGAAAAAACACACTCACATAGCAACCTGTGTTTTTTCTTTACATCTGAATCTCATTTAGTGTTTTGAGCTCAGTTCCTTTTAAATGTTTGCACTTTCAATTTACCTGATGCAATAAAATGGCAATAAAAAACTATTCACATATTTTGTTTTCATGTAAGAAATTGGGGCAAACGGCAACTATTGCCAGAGGCATTAAATATTTCCGAAAGTTTGAACTTTGGAGATTCATTTTTTATTTTTTTTTATTTGGATTTTATCCTGCTCAAAGACTTACATTGTCAAGTTGAACTAAAAGCAGACACTTGGTTCTAGCCTTTATCAGGTCAGGACATTATAATCATTTCAATGTATTCCAAAAAGGTGAAAGATCTCTTATTATCATCAGTTTCAAAACAAATATGATTTCAAAAATGCAAAAGTTGTGAATTAAAAGTTATTCAGTCTCATGACGGTATTAATTTGTTTGACCTTATCAGACAGGGTTGATTTATCTCATTGACACGTGCATTTGAACTTTACCTGGGGAATTGCAACCCCTTGATTCTTATGTTTTTCAGTCATTTTGTTGCAGATGTGCTGCTGGGATTTAAATCTTTTTGAATCACTTTGTCCTGCTTTGTCCAAACAGGAGCTGCTTTAAGTTTCGCTCAAGAATGCTATGATATCAAGGTCACCACAGATTATTATTTATCTGTGTTTTAGGTGAATGCTTGGCTTACAATTTTCTCTGGGGTCGCCCGATTCTAAAGAGATACAGCAAGTTTTTTTAATGATCAAGCCTACCGCACAATGCGGGACAAAATGGGACGTTTAACGCTACTGCAGGCGTGCCCAAAGTTGGTCCTCAAATGCAGCTGTCCTGCAGGTTTTGGAGGTTTCCATGCTTCAGCACGGTTTATTTTCATTGATAGCTGATTAACAGTGGCAGTGGCCCTCGAGGACCAACTTTGGGCATGCCTGCCCTTCTGGGTCTGGGGGGTGGGACTTAAGAGTTTAGAAAGAAACAGTCTACACATTAAAAAAAAATTCTGTCCAGGATGGAGCCAGACCTAATCACCCTGTCAGATTGCATTATGTTTGCCTCCTATTCCACACTACTTCTGTCTATTTTTGTGTAAACCTGTTCAAGATTACAGCTTCTCTCTCTCTAAAAGCCCAAGGCCAGAAGAAACCAACAATAGTTCATAGTCTCTTCGAGTTTTGCATATTTTTTTTTGGACCAGTTTCAGAACGAAGGAGAGATTAAAATTAAAGCACAACCTCTTTCATTTGACTCGTAATAGACTGATAGACCTTTTGTAAAACTTTAATATCTTTGAGTATGTAAGAGATAATATTTTGCATATTCATTCGTTTTTATTTGCAAGTTCTTGTATTTTGGGTGGAAATTAAAGCCTCAGCTTTGTCCGTCTCAGTCATTGTGTCCTTCACTCACCTTGTTGTCTGACGCCCTGTTGGTGGTCCTGATTGAATGGTAGTCTTGCAGCTGTGGCTACAATGTAGCTAGCCACCATCAGTGTGTGTGAATGAGCGAATAGCTGGATAAAATGTGAAGCATTTTGGTAAAATCTCGCTGACTTGAAATAGTGCTAGAAACCGTAAGTACAGGCCATTTTGTCTGTTGTTCTAGAATACGAGTAGCTCCATTCCAAAAAAAAGTTAAAAAACAAACCATTGGACTTTGTTTCCCATCCAGGAAGTTTTTTCAATTCAAAATGTCAGAAATAGCTTTGAGTTCGTGGCTTTCTAGACTCAATGCTATTTCTGACATTTTGAATTGAAAAACCTTCCTGGATGGGAAAACAAAACGTGTTCAAAACTTGAACACAAAGTTCAGCGGCTGTTTTTTTTGTACCTTTTTTGGAATGACTATGACCCGGATGACTCAGAATCTTCACTAGCATAATATGAGTAGCTTTTCTTCATTTGAACTTAACAATTGTTTTGTGTGTTTCTTCAATTATTCAGATCATTCCACAATGGATCTTAGTTTAAACCAATATAACTTCATAACTTGAATTTTTCTCATTTTCATTGTTTATTTGTATGAACTAGAAAGGCCCTCAGGTCTTTAAAGACCAATACACTTGCCTTTCAGACTAGAATATAAAGGTATAGTGGAGAATGTTTTTTGCCAGGTGGATCATCATAATAAGTGGTCCTCTTAATTGTCAATCATTCTGGTGATATGTTTACATAAGGCCGTCCTATGTGCTCGTCCCCATTTTGAGTGAGTCTGACATAGTGGAAAAATTGCAAATCTTAATTTGGAAAGTAAGCTCCTAGGAGCGATGCAAACAGCAACATTTAAGCATCTCCCACTCGTTTAATAGGTGTTCCCTCTTGAGAGAGGGTACAGGGTGGTGCATGTGAATTTTTTGGTGATCTTGGTGATCAATTGATAATTTTTCTAAAAACACTTCCTAGAAGTGGAGGGGTCTATAAAATGGTTTAGCTGTTATTGATCCCCTAAAAAGCATCTGTAACAGCAGCATCACATCTTCTCACTCTCCTTGTATTGTTCCTTTGATGCACTTCAGCAGTTTGGCTGTAATTATCTGACAAGGGAAGTGAACTGGTCCTGATGAAGGAGGACTCAGAGAGTGGAACACAGTCATTTCACCTCCATTACTGCAGCACTTTAGTAACATATCAAACACACCAGTATGACCGTAGTTTACTGGTTTTTGACCTGTTCTGACAGGTGGAAAGTGCAATGTAATATTTGTGAAACTTTCTGAGAAGATAACAACAGAAGTATGTATATTTCCTATTTCCATAATGAGGGAGCTTTTCTGTTATTTTTTGCTGTGGATTCTCTTTGTTTCTTTTCTCCCACAGCATATTTTTCTCCCTGAAAAACCCAATATACAGACCAGCTATCATGGCAATTGTTAACATTTGCAGATGGGTCACCTGTAGCATCCCGTTGCTGCTCTGTCATTATCTCAGTGCTGCAACACAGCAAACATCTGCTAGTTAGGATCACCTGCCTGCATATTAGGGGGATTTTAAAAGTAGATTTATTTGATTTATCAAACGCTTGTCCTTCCATCTATCATCTTCTGCTATCTGTTTCAAGAAAGAACCGCATTCTTGCTCAATCCTTGATGAAGAAGACAGAAGACATTTTAATCAGAAGTTATCAGGAGGAGCAGCATCTTTACTCTGAACTCCCTCCACATGATGGATATCCTTACCTATTCCTTGAGCGTTAGCCTGGTCAGGGATTTAGGAGATCTGTTCTAGGATCTCTGTAGACAGAAACAAGAAGCTTCTGAATCTGCTTCTTTTCAGGACCTTGTTCTGTTCAATGTAACTCACATCCCAGGATATTTGGGTCAGAACATAGATGTCTCCTCTGCTATTTTTTCTGAATTGCCAGCAAGACACACAAACACACTCCTTTGCAATTGGCTGCTAGACATTCTCAAAAAAAATACTTCAGTCAGGTTGGACAGAACACCTCTGATGTCTTCCAGGTTCACCACCAATCACATCGTGATGTTTGCAGACGACACTACAGTGGTGGGCCTCATCAAAGACGACAACGACCAGGACTACAGAGAGAAGATGGAGCAACTGATGGACTGCTCATTAAAAGCTCAGCTGTAGAGGTGGTGAGCAGCAGCAAGGTCCTGGGGGTGCACCTCACAGACAACCTCACCTGGACTGTAAACACCACCTCACAGGTCAAAAGGGCACACTTGTACTCCCTGTGGAGGATGAGGAGAGCCCACCTGCCCCCACTTATCCTCACCACCTTCTACAGAAGCAACATAGTGAGCATTCTGACCAGCTGTCTCACTGTGTGGAGGCTGCTGCGTCTCAGACTGGAAGAACATGAGAAGAGTGGTAAGAACAGCAGAGAGGATCATCGGGGCTCTCCTCCCTCCATAAAAAACATTTCACACCAGCGCATAACATCATCAATTACCCCTCACACCCCCACCATGGACAGTCCTCCCTGCTGCCCTCTGGGAAGAGGCTTTGCAGCTTCCAATGCAGGACTTGAAGATTCTGAAACAGCTTCTTCGCCACTGCCATCAGACAGCTGAACTGATGAAAAAACTCTAAATAATTTTACATACTCTGCATCAAGCTGACAACACCAAACTAAACCCCTGCCTAATTGCATCATATATATATTTAATGCTCTGAACTTCTATATAAATGTGTTTTTTTCACCATGTTTTTTCTCCCATGCTGCTTACTTTTGATCAGTGCTGCACTTTATGGAATAGAAATGTCATGAATGCTGTATAAAATGAAAATTTGTTTTGTATACACTTTTTGTGTATACAAAATTACAACAAAAGTTGTCTAACTCTATGTCTAGAAGAGTCCAGCCTCTCTCATGGAGCTGGGTTACAGAGCTTAGGTTATGTGTGGAAGTGAGCCTGACTGTGTCCAACTTGTATCTCTCCATCACCCGCATAAGTTCACACTCACAAAGCTAGCTAGTTAGTTCCTTGGTTGCCGAGGCCTCCCCCTCTGACTGCTGTCCAATCCTCTCTGCACCAAACTCAAACGCTTGTTGGGATCCGGAGGTTTGCCCACCAGAGGGCGCCAATGATCCCTTCCTGAGGTCTTGCGCTCACCTGCCACCACCTGTTGCTCATTTGCTCATCAGGAGACCAGTATATAAGGAGGCAGAGGACATCACTCCAGCGCCAGAGTGTTTGCCAGTTATGGTTAGCAAGCCTGAGCCAGTCTGCCTGTCTGAATCTTTGACTCCCTTAAAACCTGAACCTGAACCTGATCTGTTTTGTCTTCTCTGCTTCCCAGTTTGAACCTGCCTGAAACCAGAAACCCTGAAGAGTTTCTCTGTTGGAAATCTGTCTGTCTGATCTCTGAAGGACCCTGGGGAATCAAACCTGTCAAAGACCTGCCTGCCCGATCTCTGAAGAATCTGGAAGGGAAACTCAAATCTGTGATC